TCCATTCGCATTTGCCACGATAGAAAATTGTGTCTTATACACCTGCCAGGAGGTCTTCCCATCATATGTAGATAGTTTCAGAACGGAACGAGCAGGCATCGATAAAAATTTGAAACCTTCTGAATTGTTTCCTACCGTCGCTATGCACTTCTTTAGGCTGTCAACTTCTTTGGCGATGGCATCAGAAATCCTATCATCAATTTGTTGTTCGACGGCAGAAACTCTTTCTTCAATTTGTTGTTGGAAGGCCGAAACTCTTCCTTCGACTCGTTGCTCCACAGCCGACACTCTATCTTCTATTTCATCTTTGACAGAAGAAACCTTTTCTTCAATTTGCCCGACTTATTTTCGACAGCTCCTATTCTGTCTTCCATAGCCTCAAATTTACTTTCTATAACGCAGGTTATTTCTCTTTTCATTTCGTCTTGACCTGCTTCAATCTTTCTTGTACAGCTTTTAGGTCTTCTTTAAAAGTTACTTGACCAGCTTCCAACTTTTCGTGAACGGCTTCCATTTCCTTTTTAACGGATCTCATCTCTCCTTTAAACGGAATTTGCCTAATTTCATTTCTTCCTTAACGGATTCCTGGCCCAATTTCATTTCTTCCTTAACGGAGTTGACGGCCCCTTCCATCTTTTCTTGGAAAGCAGCAAATGCAGTCATCATTTGCCTGAATTGTTTTTTCTTTCCATCGCTCTTGTTATTGGCATTCAAATCCCACTTCTGACACCAAAACTTGTTGCGTGCGTACGGGTTCGTTATGCAATGAATGCACAAGTCCGATGAAAAAAACGAACAAAATTTATTATTATCACAACAGAAATGCTTAAACTTTTCTCAAATTTCATGCAGTATCACACATATCTCACAGTAGTTATCTTTTAACTACGTAAATGTACAATAGAACGTAATTCAAAACAGCTAAAGACGCTAATCCGCGAATTCGCTATAATCAACAACGGCAGTTTTCTAACACAACACAAACTAAGCAACTACTACTACAAACTGAGATGTTTTCCTCCTTTTAAAAGATTTTAAAATCACGCGCTAGAATTTTCCAGTACTTTCTCGAAATCAAAAAGAGATATTTATTTATTTAACGCACGCGCTCTGTATTTTTAATTTTCCGGCTTAGCTTTCTTTTAATATTCGTCACGCGCTGCACTGCGCGAGAAATAAAACCATTTAATTTATAATTGAACTAACATTAGCTTTTTAAATACCAAATTCGTAACACTGCCCCTTCCCAAGGACTGCACGTCCCGGGCAGTACAATCCCTGGACAGGAAGCTAAACTTACAACTGTGGCATAAATGCAACTGAGGCATAAACATTACATTAGAATATCAAACATATAAACAATAAATGCAATAACTAACTTAAACAATTCAAATGCTATCAAATACTAAATACAAAACAAATACTAAATACAAACAAATACTAATACAATCAAATACTAAATGCAAATCAAATACTAAATACAAATCAAATCAAATACACATTTATAAACAAAAAGGACCATGGTCTGATACTATTTACAATTATTTACATTACGTACTATGGCCTAGTAATGAGCTAACCTGTCGTAATGAACGACTTTAGGTTTAGAGTTTCGAAGACTTACGAATCCGAACCACGACGTCATTCAGTCTTTTTAGGACTGTATACGGGCCATCCCAAGGTGACTGTAATTTCGGACAAAGTCCTTTCCGTCGAGTCGGATTCCACAACCACACCTTGCTCCTTCGTGGAACTGATGTTCAGTGCTCTTGTGTCGTAGCGGGTCTTCATCTTCTCCGTCGCCAAGTTGACTCGCTCTCGTGCAAAGTTGTGCATCACTTCAAACCGGGCCTGGAGATCTTGAATATATTCCTCAGACGATGAAGGCGCATCCGTACGGCGAGCAAACAGGCGGTCACAAGGCAGACGAAGGTCTCAACCGAAGAGCTTCTGAGATGGAGAATAGCTGGTAGTCTTGCGTTTCTTTTCGACCCTAGCATGATTTCGGCGGCTTCCCGAGCTGGGTCTTTCGGACAAGGCGTCGGCATTTCCAAGTGAGGATCTCTTCTGAGGATGGATAGTCATGTCACCAGATGCTGAAAGCAGTTTGTTGTTTTTGAAGTCCTAAGGAAAAACTGTATTTCCTTAAAAATTCCAATCCGAGTATGCATGGATCTGTGATATGTGCCACATATGCCGTGTGATGGTAGGCTGCACTTCCAAACGTGATGTTCATGTTTAACTTCCCAGTTATGTCAATCTTATCACCAGACACAGTCTGAAGGGTAACACAGGATGGCGTCCAAATAAGTTTATCTTTAAACTGTTCAGCTAAATCTTTCCTAATGATGGTAACATTAGCTCCTGTGGTCAATGATCATATCGCAAGGAACTCCATCGATATTCCCATTAATGGACATTCCGTTACTGTTGCCACTCACTGTTAAATTTTAAGCGCTTTAAAAACAAGGTTTTTCATTATCTGACAACCTCCGTTCCTCGATATGGTCACTAATTTGTTTACTGCGTCGTTGCTGGGAAATGGTCTTATTTTCCGTACCTCAGGATGTTCTGCATTTCTTCGTATGTGGCCTTCAAACTCCGCAGTTCCAGCATTTTAGAATTAGATTCTTTTCACTTATGTTCCGTCTCAAGCCACTGACTTGTCTGGTAAAATCAACTGCTTTATTTCCGTACCCCTGGGGTGTCTGCATTCCGTCTTAGGTGACCTTCACTACCACATCTCCAACACCTTAGAGCCACTTTCTTCTCCCTCCTACTCCGTATCAAATCGTCGACTTGTCTGGCTAAATCATCTAACGAGCCATCAGTTGATCCACTGGCTCATGGACTCGCACAGCTCTAACTGGGTAGCGATCTCTACTAGTGCTTGCTGGGCTGCCTCGAACTTCATGGCGTACAACAGTGAGCGCGTTTTTATGTCTTTACATCTTCCATTCGAAGAGCTTTCTGTATTTCAGGATCCCGGATGCCGTCGATGAAATATTGCAGCGACAGGATTTCTCTTGTTTCTGTCGGGCATTCCGAAAAGGCGTGATGTGACAGCCTTTCAACATCCGTGGCGAGCTCCTGAAGTGTCTCGGTAGGCTTCTGTTGACGAGATTTTAATTGGAGCCTGCTGTAGTCTTTTAAACACTTCTCCCCAAAGCGCAACTCCAAGGCGCCGGACAGAGCTTCGAAATCTAACCTTTTATTTTCGGGAAGAGTCTCTGAAGGATATCCGCTGCGTCTGCTCTCAGAGAAGCGGCGAGATGACAGGCCTTAGCTTGGGAATCCCATCCATTCGCATTTGCCACGATAGAAAATTGTGTCTTATACACCTGCCAGGAGGTCTTCCCATCATATGTAGATAGTTTCAGAACGGAACGAGCAGGCATCGATAAAAATTTGAAACCTTCTGAATTGTTTCCTACCGTCGCTATGCACTTCTTTAGGCTGTCAACTTCTTTGGCGATGGCATCAGAAATCCTATCATCAATTTGTTGTTCGACGGCAGAAACTCTTTCTTCAATTTGTTGTTGGAAGGCCGAAACTCTTCCTTCGACTCGTTGCTCCACATCCGACACTCTATCTTCTATTCATCTTTGACAGAAGAAACCTTTCTTCAATTGCCCGACTTTATTTTTCGACAGCTCCTAGTCTGTCTTCATAGCCTCAAATTACTTTCTATAACGCAGGTTATTTTCTTTCATTTCGTCTTGACCTGCTTCAATCTTTTCTTGTACAGCTTTATGGTCTTCTTTAAAATGACTTGACCAGCTTCCAACTTTTTCGTGAACGGCTTCCATTTCCTTTTTAACGGATCTCATCTCTCCTTTAACGAATCTTTGCCTAATTCATTTCTTCCTTAACGGATTCCTGGCCCAATTTCATTTCTTCCTTAACGGAGTTGACGGCCCCTTCCATCTTTTCTTGGAAAGCAGCAAATGCAGTCATCATTTGCCTGAATTGTTCTTCCATCGCTCTTGTTATTGGCATTCAAATCCCACTTCTGACACCAAAACTTGTTGCGTGCGTACGGGTTCGTTATGCAATGAATGCACAAGTCCGATGAAAAACGAACAAAAATTTATTATTATCACAACAGAAATGCTTAACTTTTCTCAAATTATCATGCAGTATCACAATATCTCACAGTAGTTATCTTTTAACTACGTAAATGTACAATAGAACGTAATTCAAAACAGCTAAAGAACGCTAATCCGCGAATTCGCTATAATCAACAACGGCAGTTTTCTAAACAACAACAAACTAAGCAACTACTACTACAAACTGAGATGTTTTCCTCCTTTAAAAGATTTAAAATCGCGCTAGAATTTTCCAGTACTTTCTCGAAATCAAAAAGAGATATTATTTATTTAACGCACGCGCTCTTGTATTTTTAATTTTTCCGGCTTAGCTTTCTTTTAATATTCGTCACGCGCTGCACTGCGCGAGAAATAAAACCATTTAATTTATAATTGAACTAACATTAGCTTTTTAAATACCAAATTCGTAACAATATTATATTGGTTACACTAATAATATGTGATATGAAATCATAAAAGAAAGAATGTTTTTCGCCACTTGTCGCGTAATTAGTGCAAATATCTTCATGAAAGGCATCTCAATTCACTACTTATCTATTACTATTATCTTATATAATATACGAAGAGAAATAACGGATACTCAGTGGAAATTGAAAGATGATCACGAAAGCAGTTTAACAGCAACATTTTTCAAAAAATATCTGCTGTACGTGATAAATGTTCATCACATTACAACTACTTGTAACGTAGTTTAACATGTTTTTGCTGCAGGTATCTGCTGCTACAAACCTTTCAATGATATCAATACCTTCAATCGTTGTACAATCGCGCAATTAAATTTGTTTTTCAATGTATTGTCCGACTTTTTGAGCGGGGTATGCTGTATGTAAGCGTTGTACTGTTTTGCTAACTGTTTTGTTGTTTTTCCAGTAAAATTTCTCTATATAATGTCAAAATTTTATTCATGAAATACTAAATATTATAAAAGAAGAATTATTTAAAACAGTTCTAACTTGAAAGTCGACAATAGGAAGATTTTGCTGACAAAATATAAAAATGAAAAAGACTTAAAATTTACATTTAATTCACTGATATAAGAGGCTCTACTTGTAATAACTTTGCAATTAAATTAATATTTTTATTATCTTAACATTAATATAAATAGTCTATAAAGCGTAATAAATCTATTCAAAATATAAAGATGATATATTTAATCCATTCCAAGTTCCTTTCCTCTTATCTAACAATATTTTATGTACACTAAAATAGTTTTAATATCTTTAACCATTACTCCACGAATGATAAGGCAATGTGCATATATTAAACATTATCTCACTCACTATTACGATATGAAATATTACTCTGTGCTTTTGCATCATTAAAATTTTTCTACGATTGAATTGTTCTACTTCGTTCCATGGTCATAAACCTTCTTTGGGTTCACTTGTCACTTTCTTTGCTACCTCAACTACTAGCTCTTTAAAAATTATAGTATCTATATTTTGACCAAGCATGTACATGAGAAACCAGTCTCCAAATGAACCTTTTCGGACCAAAGTGTGTAGATTTTCCATGTGCGCGAATCGGTAACGCATGCTCAGAACGTATACCCGAACTGGTGGGCATGCGAAAAGTACTGCATGAAATACGAGCACAAATCCCGACAAAATGGAGAGAATGATAAACCAGAACCATAAAAAAATATATATTTTTTCGTTTATGATGTTAAGAGGCATAAGACACAGAGCATCGTGAGTCTCTATATTAGCAGATGGACCGTATTTATGAAACCTACATTTTGTGATTCTTGGAAAAATCCGAATCATCGGATCCACCCTGTCCTCTGGATCTATATTCATAAATTCAATCATTTCAAGGCCATAGTTCATAAATTCACCATCAAAGAATCTGTTGAGCAAAAACATTTGTCCAAGGACGTTCATAAAAGCAAGAATTTCACATATTAGGTATCTCCCAGCGTACCAATCGTGAGTTTTCCAACTAGACATAATATAGTCCACCAATAGCTTTTTCTTCTGCTTTTTCTCAGCTTCTCCTAGCAAACCGATGTCCAAGTCCATCATTAGAGCTTGTATCTTGCCTCCTTCCCACATGCGCCATAGCCATCTTGGGATATAGAATAAAATGGCTTGAAAGAACAGCATGAAACAAACCCATTGGTAGTATTTGTGGTAGCGAAAGAGTTTTTCGTCTTGCGTTGAATCAATTCCCGGATGTGGTATTTCTTTGCCAACCTGTAATAGAGAACATGAAAATAGAGTTTTCTATTTATTTGTAATTACAATAATAATAATAATACTTAGTTTTCCAATTTTATTCGAATTAGTTACTGTTAGCCATTTAAAGACTGAAAATGAAAAAGTATATCTAATTTGCGTTTTATAAGGGATTCAAAGATCAATTAATAATTTATTAAATAGGTGAGAAAGAGAGTCAAATACTTTGTTAAAAATTGTTAAATATTTTTAGACAGTCAACGGACAAAATAACAATAATTATTCTAATCTTTTACCTTCTAAATATATTAAATTTAGATATGGTTAAAGTGGTTATATCCAATGGAATGGTGAGAAAACATTAATTTATTTATATCTGCCAGTAACCTAATATTTTCTGGCATTGTTAGTCCACTACAGCTTAAATTCTTTAAGCAACATTTTCACTAAAATTAACCACAGTTCGAACTCATCTCTCAGTTGTTTTTGGCAACAATAATTCTTGCTCCATGATTATTTTTCATGTTTTCTATATAACAGGTGTCCGAGACAGACCTTTATTGTGTTAAAGGGATGATATACTTTGGCATATTTTTGCAGTGGAGGAGACACTTCACTTAAAATTTGGGGTGCCTATGTTAACATATGGGGGTTCCTAGTCTTAAGGTATTTGTACTTTGCTTTTTAATTAATGAATGCTTCTGGAATACTTTGGAACGCGAAACCCTTTGCGATTTTAACTTGCCCCCGCAACCCCATAAATTCGCCTCTGATTAAAGATTACATCTTTTAAAAAAAAAAAAAAAAAATTGGGTGTTCAATTTGATTGTTTTTATTTATTTTTTATATATTTCACAATGCGCGTAAAAAGAAAAGAAGTTCAAAATTAAGTGCCGGAGAAATGCCATCTTAATTTGGCGCAGATTTTGAATAAAACTCTATCGATTTCAAAGTCAGGTGAGAGCAGGGTACAGACACCCGGTTGGTTTCCATTGACTGTTCGGTTATTGTCCGGATCCCGTAACTGTCCAGAAAAACAACATTTCCAGGCAATCAGACAGAGGTGTCCGTTTTCAAATCGAAGATAGCAGGCGAAGCAAAACGAGCACGAAGGTAGCATCATCTATCAAGGAAAATGGTGCTACATTTGTTCTCGCTAAAAAGCATCTTCACTTCTCCCATTTTGTAATATATATATAAATGCATTTTTTTTTGGGGGGGGGTCTTTGAAAGAAGAGAACTTCTCCTTGATCTTCCTCGAAATCGATAGCATTTCATTAGCTAAAGTGAGATTGCTTTTTATCCTAATTTAAAATTTTACATCGGCGTAGTTCTCTTACATTTGAGAAAAGAAGTTGTTGAACTTGGTGATTATAAAAATGCTTCAAAAAGAACAAATACAAGTGAAATAACGATTATTTATTTTCTGAATTATAATTTTATTCAATTTCTTAAAAATTTACTTCTTATTAGAGACTAGACTACTGTTGTTGCCCTTTGATTTGCTTTGGCATAGGACGTGGTTTCTGAAATTGAGCGTTCTTTAAAATTAAGAAAAAAGAATTAATTTAAAAAATAAAACAATTTGATATAGACATTACTTCTTTATACAAAGTATTAAACTATACACATTTTTTCTGCACTTAATTTAAACTTATCTTCTAGAATTTTTCTAATTTAATTAACAAACTCTTAGGCAAGTTGAAAAGCACTTCAAAAATTGCACATTTTTTTGGAATTAAATATCCCGATCAGTTTTTTCTCAAGCATAAGTATAGGATCTCATTAAAAATTAGATTTCGTAGTTTGTCGAAAATTATTATTTTTTTTTAAATTTGAATTTGCTAAAACATGAATATTTCCGTCATTTAAAATACTTTTGGAATTGGAAGTATATGACTACAACCAACGACTGAGAAAATAAAGGACGTGCAAAAAAGACTTTTAAGCTGCGTAATGGGTATATAATTAGTTTATAAATTTAAATTTATGTATTAATTTTTAATTTCGATTATCCCCTAGAAATGAAAAGCGAAATCGATTGCTAAATGAACCTTATTAAAAGTTAAATCCTCAGAAGTTTGAGATAAAATTATGGAAGAAATACTTAGTAGAAGATTTAAATTGTATTAGAAATCATAATAGAAAACTGAAATTACTAATAAATGCATATCAAAAGAAAATTAATTATTATTGATCCCATGCAATAAGGTCGACTTGGGAATTAGTCTTTCTCCATAAAATCTGAAATAATTAAAGAATGATCGCGTTTCGTCTCCTTGGTATATTTGAATAAAATTATTTTCAAAATGCAAAAAATAAAGCTAATAAATATAATACTTTCTCTTCAATTTAAATTAAAAAATTTTAAATACACGAAAGAAATCCCCGACGCGATCTAATAGAACATATCTACAAAATTTTTAAACTGATGGTTGTAAATAAAACATAAAAATCTGTTTAAAAATATATCAGTCTACTGCATTTTTACCCTGAAATGCTTATTATTCTGGATTTGCAAAAACGGAAAGATTATCTCTATTTATCGCTTTTCAATAACTTTATCAAGCACGCAAAAATTCCTTGCCTACAAACAAAGGGTATTCCAATGGGAAGTTCTTATTCAACTCCCTTCTGTAACCTTCATTTGTAGCCTAAAGAATATAAATTTCTTAAAAAACCTCTTAGATAATGGTTTCAATAAATCTGAACACACTTTCAAATATATTGATGATATAATTACATTCACAATAATAATATTACTGAAAATAGAAACATTATTCCAACTGTCTAAAACTTAACAAGACCAATGAAAATCAATTAATTTTAGATTATCTGGATCTTAGCATTTATAGTCTTAAAGAAATAAAACTATTTGATAAAAGAAGATAATTTAATTTTTCTACAATTAAACTTATAAATCGGAACACCAACTTCTCTAAAAGCGTTATAGCAAATACATTTTTAATCAAATTGCCCGAATTAAAATCGTTCGCACAGAAATCGACCAACAACAGCTAGAACTTTTTCTTACTAAAATTTTACAAGAAAATGAAATTCCAATTTAACTTCCTTAACATTCTACTGAAAAAAAAGCTGGATCAGTCTACATCCTATAAAATGTTTTAAAGTAATGAATTTTTTATCTGAAAGCTCAAGTAGAAGGCTGTTTTAGAGAATTTCATAGTACATATGTGTATTACTGTACAATTTTTCTTGACTACACTTTTATTAGAGGTTCTATTCTAGTCTAAGTCGTCATTCTAAGTCATAGGCCTATCACATGAAGACTTTATTCTTTTCTAAACTTTTTATTTTCTTCCTTACTTTACTATCATGCTTTCCAAACCTAAAAATTTGAAAATTACTTACATGTTTTTAATTCACCTTTTGGGAGATTTCCAACTTGCCATTGCCAATTTGTTTCTTTAATGAAGCCAAACTGGCATCCCTAAGCGTCTACTTTTGAATTTCTGTCTTTTATTCTTTGTTCGCCCTTAATAAGTTCTAATTTCAATTTTTATATTAATTTTCATGTATATTTCGTATTTCTGCATTTTAATTTGAGTCTTACAATTGGAGGAAAAGATTCTAATTAATTTCTTTTACTTCATTGGACATTGGAATTTTGACATATGGATTTGTTTTTGTATATTTTTATTTCGTTTTCGGATTTCCTCTGCTTCGACGAGGAGTTCAAAATTTTCAGTCGAACTGTTATAATTAAATAATTTGAAATGGTTCATCAGCTAATTTTGGATGAATGAAACGTAGTATTCTCCAAGGGGTTCAGTTAAATTTGATCCATCTCCTCTTGACAACGTTGAATCAGATTTTGATTACATTCCTCTTCCTATATATTTTTTATAATTTTTGTATTTCGCATATCTGTAATTCTTCTGGTTTAGTGACTATTGGTTAAATTTTTACAAATTTATCGGGAATTTTGGGTTTTACTGGTTTTAAATTTCATTTCTTTCGGTCTTTGTGGATTTAGTTCTAAATTTCTTAACTTTTTGTCTATATACATAGAGAAAGAAAGAGAGTACTGCCAATTGCAGTAAAAATGGGAGGTGCACGACATGGCGTTGTGGCAGTCCCATATACAAAATTTCAGCATTCTATGGCTAATCTTTTTTTCTGAGTTATGCGAGATACATACATAAGTATATACGTATATACAGATGTCAAGGAAAAATCGCTTTTGAACTCATTTTACTATCCGTTTTGAAGGAAAGAGTATTTTATTCTTCCGTATGTACATATATCAAGCGAATGAAGTCGTCCAAATGGATTCAGAAATGATCAAAGTGGATATTTTCGTTGAACTATGATATGTAAAATTTTTGGGATTACAGTACTTCCTTTGGATGATATTCGTAAGTAATTTTTTCAGTGGAAATTTATACCATAAATAGTATTTACAGGGAAACAGGGAGGAGTTAGATTTTTGTGTTTTTTACAGCTTTCTTCTCCCAGAGTGATGTGACAGTTTTCATCAAATTCTGCATCTTTATAAAATATATTGTAACTTTAAGTTCATGTCTATGATCGTTCTCTTGTCATTGTTGTGTGCTATTTTTGGACCGATTCTGGAATATCATGCTTAATATGGAATAATAACGTTTATAGTTGATGGACTAAGAAACCATTATGGAATTATTTTCCATCAAATATAAAGCTCCTTTTCTTAGCATCTTTCACACTTTGGTAACATTTCCCAAGTACTGATACGATTTACAAGTACTTTTCAAGCTGTTTAGTTGACACGTACAAGATGACACGCATCCAAAATACATACCAATATAAGATCATTTTTCTTTGCCTGTTCAAATTTAGCTATAAGCTTGGAATTCATCTATCTTTTAATAATGAAAATATATGAGACAAATTATTTATTTTTTTTTAAAGTCTCTCTCATTCTCCCTTGCAATTGAGAACTCTTAAAATATAATCGGACGTCCTAACAAAAGATTAGGAGAAGACTATGTTTTAGCAATGGTGCTATGAGAAACTTG